AGGTTAACCAGTTATATTTTTTTCAGTAAACATGAGCTGAATTGTGATAAAATGTATCTCTAAAAAATAATAAAAGAAAAAGTTGACGAGTAAAACACAAAAAAATGTGTTTTTAAATTGAAATTTTTTTTATTCATTAGGTTATGTATATGATTGCGAAAATGTCATTTGTAACATTAAACTGACAGAAAATGACCTCCGCTGTTTATGTAGTTTGTGGAAGTTTGCAAAATTTATTTGGAGTAAAACAAAACAAAACTTGGTGAACCAAAGATCGGCAGGGTGTCCTAAGGCAGCGCCAGCTGATAGAGGGCATCGTTGAACACCGACACAAGCTAAATGCTGGGTGTACCTAAATGGCTTTATTTGGTTTCTGAAACAACATGGACAGTTGATAGTCATGTGTTGTTTCCTGATTCTAATCAACTGGACAGTGAAGAAACAGTTCTTGGTTGTGTTTAGGGTCTGAAGCTGATTGATTGATTGTGTTTGTGTCATTGAACAGTCAAGCAATGTTTGTTTTCGTTTCTGAAGAGGATTTATCGGACAGCAGTGTTTCTCAAACACATATTAAATAAATAGGGATGCCCGCCCTCCCTATAACCCCTGTGCACCAAGGGATTTTCCATTATTAGGAGTAGTGGAGATCGTGACATTAGGATTTGACCTAGCATTGTAGCGCTCCGCTATTGTTGATTGGATGTCAAGCTTTAGGTTTGTGTCTCATTTCTTGAAACTGATGGGTCCTGAATTTGATGCTTTGATTTCTGCAGATGACAGTATGTCTGCGGCCAGTGTCTCCGACGTCAACGATCGTCTCTCAGCTCTGGAGCTCCGTGTGCAGCAGCAGGAGGACGAGCTGACTGTCATGAAGGCGGCACTCGCTGATGTTCTTCGCCGTCTTGCCGCCTCAGAGGAATCAGCTGCTGCGAGCAAAAAGCACGGAGGGAAAGGTAACTGAGCGAGGTTTAACGTGATGCTGAAAGAAACCTTCAGTTTCTTTAAAACTTAGTTTATAACAGAGTTCCCATGGGTCCTTGAAATCCTTGAAAGTTTGTGAATTTAAAAAAATCCAATTCAGTTTATTTATATAGCGCCAAGTCACAACACACTAAGAGATCGACCGATACAGGTTTTCGAAGGCCAATACGATACAGATTTTTTAAACATCAGTCTAACCGATATGCCGATTAGGCCTGTCACGATAACAAATTTTGCTGGGCGATTAATTGTCTCACAAATTATTGCGATAAGCGATAATAT